AATATTAAAGGGAAGGTCATGTCAATGGAAAGTAATTTTTGGCAGCGTTGGTGGGGTTCTTACGATGACCTCTTGGAGGAATGATATTACTTCACAGTCCGTGAGACAGGCGAGTCTTCTCCGCAATCTGAACCAATTTTTGTTATAGATAGAACAGTTTGTTGGGGAGATAGACAGTTCCGGTACAAGTATTGAGGGTTGGACGAGGTTCTGCTGCAGGAATGGAGTTGCTAGAGAAATCAGAGTTGATAATGCTTTCGGATTTAAGTGTAACGAGACGGGAACGATCGGGTCGGCTACGGAAAGAGACTTTGCCTATTTGTTTTTGAAGACATTGCTGAAAGAGAAGAGGGTTATCAGAGTAAGGAGCTGGGGGGGGGGGGGTGGCACGAACAATCGGTCCCATTTGGCTGGACTAAGTAGAGTATTTAAGATATTTGTAGAGATGGGAGTGGTAGAAGGACATGGACGTGTAGAAGAGGGAGTATTGTTGAGGGGAGAGATGGAGAATAAGGCTGTAAAGTAGTAATAAGGGAGGATGGGATGATTGATGATGGTTGTGGGGGTAGAGGTGTTGAGGCAGGTGGGGAGTAGGAATGTCTCCTGGAGACTGACTCCTGAGTGGGGTAGATAATATACTAGTAGGCATAGAGGAGTGGGTAGTAGTTGCAGTGTTCAGAGTCGTGGTCAAAGGAGAGCCTGGGGTCAGGGAACAGCAGAGTTTGAATTGGTGGGCTATTTGATGAAGGAGCAAACCTCATTGACCCTAAACAAGTGTATACCATATTCATTGTTGGCCATGGGAAGTAAGGAAACAGTCCACCCTTCAGGGCCCCCATGAGGGGTAAGGCTAGACAACTAAAATGGGAAATACCGTGCCCATGGCTCCCTCAGGCCATTTGGGATTGGCACAAAGTCAGCCTTTCATCCTTTTAGCATGGCTCTCACACTTAAGGAAGTGGATAGAAGGGGTTGGAGGAGGAACGGAAATGAAAAAGCAGGAGGGGAAAAAGACCGTGCAAAATTAGTTGAGTCGAGGACCATGGTAGGGAGATCCTCAGCATTGGGTCCCAGTCCTCGCCTCCTAAACCCGCCACAACAACAACGAGCAAGGGATTGGGGGAGAACTCTTTACAGAAATGGTTTATGAATGAAAATCTTGTTCATTTCGGTAAAATATATTTACAAATATATCACAATAGACTAAGCAAGACATCTTTAGTCTACATGACTCACCACTGAGCTTTGTAATAAAATACCTAAATAATTACAGTTGTAACTTGAGCTTTAAAAACTCAGTGAAAAACATAACCATGCCTTATGCATGGAAATAATTTAATAACAGTCTGTCTGAAAAACATCACAAGAATTCATTTGAAATATTCCGAACATACATTTCTAGATGATAAATTTAACACTTTATCAAAACAAATCTGTCGAAACTTTTTATCTCATCTGTGGTGAATATTTGTAGTTGTAGTCAACACATTTCATCTCTTGTGTTAGTTTTATACAATAAAAGACAGTATCTACACATCACCTAGCAAGATCTATAAACTTCCTGTGAAAAATTCTTTGGCAGTGTCAGCACAGTTTATTCATGCTTGTAAAGGTTTACTGGATAATTTACAACTATAATTAAGATTTTAAATATGAAAAAAATATGGCCTTTTGTTTCATGTTCATTTTCTGCCCTGCCTACTAGTATAAAGTCAATAATAATTCTTAAGAGAAATAGCTGTCCCTGTGCTAATAAAGCCTGTAAAGCAAGTCTGCAAAAGATGCACTAAAGTCCTACAGAAAATGATTAGTTCAAGCATAATTTCAGATGGTTCTGTTTCAACAATGCTAAAAGAAGTCATAGTAAGAACATCAATAATACTAACAATAAAAATACTGATTGTGATAATAACAGTAATAATAATAATAATAATAATGATTATGAAAATAATAACAATAATAACACCAAGACTCATATTCATTCATTACAATGCCAACACTGGTGGCAATAACATTCAATGCAACTTCAGCGTCTTTGGGAATCTTTCTAGGAATCCCACAGTCTTCGGTAAATTGGCAAATGACAAATCTCAAGAGAAAAATCCCCTTACTCTGGCATGAATAATGTTGCTTTTGTGGAAGCATTTACTCTGCTTTATCTTATAAACCCTGTGCTTGGGAATAAGCAAGAAAATTTTCTAAAGGGACTGGTATCACATGCTTGCATCTCTATGCAAAATTCAGGATATAATTCTACATCACTTGATTCATGAACAAAGACTGATCACATTTTTTTCTTTATCAAAAAGTATATTCAGTTGATCTTTGAGCTTTTTCAATGACAATATACATAAATTTAATTCAGGAGACTATTGTGAACAAATAAATATATAAAACTACAATAACAATAATCAAAAACATTAAAACTGTAATAAAAAATCATGTTTGTTTACATTTCCATAAAAAAAGCATTATGGAAAATTCAGTGTTACTGCAAATTTGCAAAAACTATTATACTATCTATGACACTCAAAATAAATTCTGATACACAAAATCTATTCAGTTTATGAATATGTAATGGCACCAATTACTTTTGTTTGTCTACTAAGATCATACTGCATAGCTGCCACTTTCAATAACCTTAAAGCTACCGGGTATATCATCAGTATCACACTAAGTATACTAGTGTGTGTAAAGGCATATGTGTGTACTTATCCGCAGACACACCTACATTGTACAAATTCATCAATTTTATGAAATTCAAAAAACATGTATATCCATGTACACAAAATGTATACACTCACAAACAGTGATTTTCTTTCATGATGAAAAGTAGTATCATGCCTAATATATCAAATAAGGAAACCTATTGCTTGAAAATTTCATTGAAAATATTGTCCTACTGGAAATGCCTAATATGAAAGAAAAGAAAAAAAATATGCATGCCAATTAAGAGAATCAACAAGTTTCTTCATACATTAAGAATACTAAAATACAAATCCTAATTTTAAGAATACCACATTTAAGAATATTTACTGCAGTTACACTTGAAATATCTTTGTAATAAAAACCAGATTGTGCAAAATTGAGGCAAAGAGATAATGAGATGCATATACCTCATGCTTAACTTGTAAATAAAAAAAAATTGAATACAAGACCTTTGTCAAACTTAATTCTAACTCTTTAAAAAATAATACCAACTTTAGACACAGACTTATCATGTAGTTATCTTTTCTTTATGTCCTTATAAGACAGATTTGTAGCATGTCAGATGAATAATAAAAGAGAGAGTCACTATTAGCCAATCTATAACACAACAAACATTGAAATACTACCTGTTTGTAAATTGCTCTAGCACAACACTGTATCTTTCCAAAAAGAACGAACAATTCCTACGTATAATTGTCCTGTACTACAAATTCAAAGAATTCAAATTCAGTGTACGTCCTCCAACAAAATCCATCAAGGTACAAGAAAGATGCTGAAATATGATGAGGTGAGACTTATTCTGTGACTGAAATATGCTTCCTTGTAATAGTCGAGCATAATTCACTAATTAGTAGCTTTACAATTTTGCTGAAAACAGATCATTCAACAGACACACCAGACAAGTTCTAAATAATAATAATAATAAAAAAAACTGAAGGTAAACAAACAATACTGTCCCTATAATTAGCTCCTAACATATGAGTATTCTGGTAATTGATATTACCCAAGCGATGTCTCTTCCATTTTTGTACAAACAAAAAATATACAGTATATGAAACATTAAAACTCAAAATCAAAGAACCGTTCAGAGCATGAAAATAACTGATACTGAGAAACTATACTTGATAATGATCATAAATCATAATGATTATAATAATATATCAGTTAATGATAATAGCATTGGAAATCCTTACAAAATCATAGCCATAATAAAATTAGTAATAATAATAATGATATTAATGAAAATATTGATAATGATAACAATAATAATAACAAAAATAATAATAATATTGTTATAATCAATACTGCAATATATAAGATACAGATAAACAGTAATAATAATAACTTCAATATCAAAGAGTATAATGACATCCATGGTAGCACTACCTCTCTCCTCTCCCACCCTCAAAAAAATATATAAAATAAAATGAAATAAATAAATCATATATATATTATATATATATAATATATATATATATATAATATATATATATATATATTATAATATATATATATATATATTTTATATTATATATTTGTTGTTATTTTCTTATGATTATTTAGTCATATTATCAACACTTTTAAGACAAATATTGGAAAAAAATGATTATAGATATAGTAATGAAAATGACAATCTCTTATAGATAGCATTCTTTTTCAGACTACATTTGGCTACGCTGTCCTTACCTATCTGGATTCCTTTCCTACCATCAACCATGATGCCAACAATAGGTCTTCACCAGCAGTATTGATAATGACAAGAATATAATGAAAAATGGTATTAAAACTTTAGAGGCTGATAATAAAAATGACTATGGAGATGATACTATAACATTGTTGATGATAATGATAATACTACTAATCAAAGAATTAGATTCACCATATTAATACCAAACAAAATAGCACATCAGTTACACTAACAAAACTAGCACTGATATGGGTTCCATCACTATCATGAATAAGACATGTTGCTGTCAATATAGCTGTCAAAAAAATGTACTAATGTGGCTTATCATATAATAAATTTGAATAAATGCAAAACACTCACTGAAGTGCCTTTATTAGGAACCTTCATTCTTCTAACTTAATCTGTGATCAGTCTTTTCATAAAATAAAACTGACTTGTTGACACATTCTTTGGCACACTGTCTCTTATCATCTACCTAACCATGTGAGAGACAACAAGGGTTTCTTATCTAAGTCTTTGACTATTAACACATTGGTGCAAATTCTAGTCATGTCTACTTCCTTACAGCTACCAATTCCACCTTAGGCCAAGGGAAAATCAGCAATGCAAAATAATTTTATAAATAATGATAAAAAAAGATGTGTGATATGACAAGGCAATGAAGGGCACTTCTGGCTTAGCATTTACAGATTATTTTATGTTCTGAACATTTAGAGCAAACTCTGGATTACAACCTCTCCAAAAATATAGATCTCTTTTGACTATTTCACATTTCTTTCTTACAATATTTCCTTTATCACTGTTTTATCTTTGTTTTCTAAAACATTTTACTAAAACTATTTCAGAGAAAGAGACAGGAAGAGAGAAGACACTATAGTTAACTATAAATAATTTTCAAAAAGGAAAAAAATTAACACAATCATTATGTTGTTCATCATCCACAATACTCATCATCACTCATAAAATCATCCTTCATTTTTTGCCAACAGTATCTATAATTCCTCAAAGAACGCAACCCTGGTGCGAGTATTCCCAGACCGTGTTCGTCGAAGCGTAGAATACTTTGTCTCCCCAGTTCTTAGCTGCTCGTGGTAAACTGCGTCCAACAGAGTTTGATTTTCTTCCACTTTCAGAACCTGAAAGAGACAAATAAATAATATAAATAAACAAAACCACAACATTAACATCAATGAATGCTTTATGATAAATATTGTACTGACACTTACGGGATGTCATATCAAGGAAAATGGAGTAATATGGAAATTTACTTGACTACAGAAAAAGAAATGTGAGAAAGGAAAAAGAAGAGAAGAAGAAGAAGAAGAAGAAGAAGAAGAAGAAAAAAAAAAAAAGGAAAATATATACAACACAAACAAGAGTACTACATTTTTCCTTTCTTTCTTATGAGAAATTCAAGCTACAAAAATCAAGCACAATATTTCTTTACTGTAAAATACAAGCATGGCAACAGGCATATTTCTACAAAACACTGCACAGTATAATCTGACTGCATTCAATACTATCCAGACAATCTTGTATATGACTTTGGCAGAATACTCATAAACATTGACGTCAGGCGTACCAAACAAAGGATTAACATTAAAATATATTTTTCTAAGGCTCCTTATTCATAGCTTGCACTTACAGAAAATACACTTCTGGATTAGATGCACTTAAAGCAAACCTTTAGTTAAGGGATATTGTAGGAACCTAAAAATTCATGCTCCTTCACCCACATCACGCTATTAGTCCATGCATATTTCTCATTTTCTCTTTAATTTAACTCTGTATATATGTATATGTATGCATGTATGTAGATATGAATGTACCTATAACAGTTTCCTAATCAACATAGTATATACAGAGCACATCCTTAATTACAGTTTCCTAAACTGTATCATGTACATGAGGCATACCCTTCTCTCTCCCAGTTAGCTACAAAGATAATGATAAAATCTACCTCGTCACATAATACTATCACGCCTTTCATAATTCATAATCACTAACTGGCCCAACCATTAAGAAAAGCACTATTCACAATTACTGTTGGCACTGGACTTGCTCTAATATCATACAGCTATAGGTTTAATGATATGTCCAAAACCTTTAAAACTGGAGCAAAAAAACTCAATTTTCAAGGGCGGCAGGAGCTTGTTGATAATCAATGATGTACTGCATGAATCAGCTACCACATAATGGTAGACTGAGCAGTATGTGTGAGTGTGAGTGTGAGTGTGTGAGTGTGAGTGTGTGAGTGTGTGTGTGTGTGTGTGTGTGTGTGTGTGTGTATGTTGTTGTGTGTGTGTGTGTGTGTGTGTTGTGTTGTGTGTATGTGTGTGGTGTGTGTGTGTGTGTGTGTGTGTGTGTGTGGTGTGTGTGTGTGTGTGTGTGTGTGTGTGGTGTGTGTGTGTGTGTGTGTGTGTGTGTGAGTGAGTGTGTGAGTGAGTGAGTGAGTGAGTGAGTGAGTGAGTGAGTGAGTGAGTGAGTGAGTGAATGTGTGTGTGTGTGTGTGTGTGTGTGTGTGTGTGTGTGTGTGTGTGTGTGTGTGTGTGTGTGTGTGTGTGTGTGAGTGAGTGAGTGAGTGAGTGAGTGAGTGAGTGAGTGAGTGAGTGAGTGAGTGAGTGAGTGAGTGTGGTGTGTGTGTGTGTGTGTGTGTGTGTGTGTGTGTATGTGTGTGTGAGTGTGAGTTGTGTGAGTGAGTGAGTTGAAGTGAGTGAGTGAGTGAGTGAGTGAGTTGAGTGAGTGTGTGTGTGGTGTGTGTGTTGTGTGTGGTGTGTGTGTGTGTGTGTGTGTGTGTGTGTGGTGTGTGTGTGTGTGGGTGTGTGTCTGTGTGTTGTGAGTGAGTGAGTGATGAGTGAGTGAGTGAGTGAGTGAGTGAGTGAGTGAGTGTAGTGAGTGAGTGGTGAGTGAGTGAGAGAGTGAGTGTGTATAAATACATCATTCTCTACATTCAGTTGCCTAATTTCTATTTTTCTGGCTCCTTTAATATGCTATTTCTATATTGTGCTCTTGCTAAACATATCTTCATAACTGCAATACATACCTTTACATCACCGACTGCTATAGCCAAACAGGAGTGTTAAAATCATCATCAGTTTACGCTAGAAGTGGGTATATCAAACAGAGAAGAGATGCAAAATTATCATTACATACCTACAAGACTAACAATGTTTCTCACCTCTATTTCACTCTTGAGATGGCGTAACTGCTGCTGGAGGTGTCTTGAGCGTTCCAAATATTCGACCCTTTCCTTCTCAATCTCCAAGCTCAGCTGCTCTACATCAGTATCATTCAGGAGATCCAAACTAGTCAGGTCAGGGGCATACGTAGAGTTCAGGGCTTCTGTGCTCTCTAGTGTAAGATCTGGCAAGTCCACTGCAGAGCCTACTACTAAATCATTAGTGCTGCCAATCGCCAAACTGCAAAGAAAAACAGACACAGCGACATTACTATACTGGGTAATTACTTTTCTTGTACTCCAAACTGGATAGAGTAAAAAAATAAAATAGAAAATAAATAATTAATATAAAAAACACCAGTGCACACAAAATGGACCTGATTCTAAATATGTATACAATATATAATGTATAAGACAAAGGAATATGTATAAGTTAAAAAATATCTGCTTACCTATGAGAGTATGCCGGTGGTGGCAAATGCATTGTAGAATTGTTCAAAAGAGAAGTACCAAGAATGGAGGAATTGACAATGGATGAGTTGGCTGCCGAGTGACATATGGAAGAATTGAATGTTTTGACAAGGGTGTTGAGCTTCTCCTTTGCCTGCTTCTCCGAAAACCTCGCCCGTATCAGCTCCTGTTGAAGTCTTTCGGACTCTGTGGCTCTTCTCTCTCCCTCTTCTACCATTGTTGACACCAGCAGCTCGGCTTCTCTTACCTGAGAAAGAATGTCATATTTACAGCACAATAAGAGTGAGTGCTCTGAAAAATAGATTGTGCATTCAATTTTTCAGCATTTTCTGGTGGGGTGATTTTCTGTCATTAATTACAAACTTGGATAGTAATGTACCTTGTGCTCCATCAACATCTTTTCTTCCTGTGTTTTGGCTGACAGAAGATGTGACGTTGGCATTCCTGCTCTGCTTCTGAGGCTTTCTGTGTTAGCAGCATAGTCTCCTCTTCAGCTATTCTTGACTTTTCTACTAATAAGTCAGCAGTTTCCTCAGATCTATAAAAATGAAAAAAAAAAAAAAGAAGAAAAGAGAGAAGAAAAAGAAAAAGAAAAAGAAAAAGAAAAAGAGAAAGAAAAAGGCAAAGAAGAAGAATGAAGATGATAACAATAACATTACTATTACTATCATTAATACCTACAGTCCGAATGACGTGACTATCACATCATGAATTTTTTTTTGGGCTTATTCCCGTTCACTATTAACAGCAGAGACTGACAAATGTAGACGATCCACAAATCAAAATAGCTACACAAAGCAAGAAATAAAACTGACATTTTAACCAATGGTCCAATATAGCATGAATTAAATGCCATGTTCACTGCATTTTTAGTTTACTCTTGTGTTTATACATAAATGGCTCCACAAGTGCTTAGTCACCAAGAGGTCAACTATACATCTCAACTACCTCCTCAGTCCTTTTCAACGATTTTCAGATTTTTTCCTATGTTCTCAGTATTTCAATAACATTGCAATAATCACAAACTCATTAATAAGAATATCAATATTAAGAGCATCGATCCCATCCCCCCAAAAATAAAAACAAAAACAAAAAACAAGGAAATGAGAAATCATGTGCAGTCTCATCAGACCCACTTATAGACTCCTAGGTGGCTGGGCACTTGTGGATCCATCTGTGTGCATCAAAGTCCAAAATAACTTGACATAATTCTGCAACTATTAGATTAATCTATATCACCATAACAATTACTTCTTTGTATGAAGTATAAGACAAATGTTATTCATTTATGTCTTTTGCTATTTGGAGTTCTTTTTTCTCCTTTATACCCTTTCTTCTCCGAAATATGTCATTATAATGAAACATATATTGTATCTCAGGTACACAAAAATACACATTTAAAGAGATTAGGTTAACTGTAATTTTCCCTACCTCCTCAAGGCATCGTTAGCAGCTCTCATTTCTTCCTGATACTGAAGGAGCCTTTGCTCCAGCTCAGCCTTCTGTCTCTCTGCCTCCTCCCTCAGCTGCTTCTCTCTAGCTAACTTATCTTTTTCAATCTGTTTGTGAATATAAATAAACATATGAATACTCTTGCCCTCAGCTAATTCAGGCAGTATATGTCTACTTAGGCAATCACACAGGAATACTATAAATTTACGCCTGGGTCAAGATGCCAGAAAAACATGTATGCATTCATTGGGTATGCATATAAAGAGATGGATGGATAATAATACATGACAAATGTTTCATTTCTACATTAAACCAAATTTTCCACTTATTATGATCCCTTACAACAGTGGATTACATACCTGCCGTCTGTGTTTCTCCTCTCGAGCTGCTGCTTTCATCTGCTGAACTTCAATAGTGTCTGGCTTTCTTCTCCTTTTGAACAATTCATGATTCCCTATGCTAAGATCTAGAATTAGCTTGTTCATGCGACTGTTCTTTGAGAAGAACACGAAGTTTGGTGCAGTCTTGTCAGTAGGACGGATAGTAAACTTCTTGTCATCTACACTTATGTTCCGTATTTCTGACCAAGGAAAGCTAATCTTGGGTTCTAACTTGTTCTCGCTCTCATAAACATTAAGTCCAAGAGCTGTAACACCTGCAATGAAGTTCTGAATGAAAAGTAATGCTCCCAAGAAAACAATGACAAATAACAGTTCATTGATATCTATATAATTGTCTTATGAAGTCTCTGGATGGATTACTAACAATACAGAAAACATTACTTGCAATTGGTAGCATTAATCTAAAACACACACATAAAAAACAATTATAAATACAAAATAAAAACCGAAATCACTTACCAAGCCAGAGTTCTGTTTGCTTCTTATTCGTGATGGTAAAGTAATTGACTCCATACATGCCCAGATCCTGTGCAATCTTCAAGTATTCCATTTCTGCTTCGTCTCGTTCATTCCTCTATGATCAGCATACCAGACCCTTATCCTTTCTTCCCACATCACAGGAGTCATTTGGTATTGGCTGTTGAAGGTGGTTCAGTCAATGCAAATCTCAGAAATCATTGGACTGAAGGAAATAAAATCTTTTCTGGAAGTTCTTTATAAATGTAACCATTTAAGGATAAATTATTATCAACAAACCACTCCAACCTAATTAAGAGAAAAAAATACTAGTCAAATACCTATCAGTGGAAGCATTTAAAAACAATGCAATAAGCAAAATATGGAAAAATATCTACTGCATGAAAATAATTAAACTAATAAATAAATCAAATAAAGGAAGATACAGAAATGAGCTCTGCACATCATCATTCAGATCTGGTCACCTCAATACACGCTGGGGAAGGAGTTCCTCCATGGAGAGTGAGCCAGCTCTGTAGGTGGCATGATCATAGTCACCAAATTTGGCCTGGACAGCATACGAAGCCAACAAAACTGACATTTCTGGAGGGCAGTAAATATCCATATTCAAGATGGATTGTTTAACCTGTAAAAAAAGAAACAGAAAAAAATAGAGAAGAATGTAAAAATTCCTTACTATAAATGGCGAAAAAATTAAGAAACAAATTCACATGAATAAAATATCTTCATCTGTTACATACAATAAAAAATGATGATGTAGCTGAATACATATATCTATTTGTTTAAATATGATACATAATATAATGATAAGGTCAAACATGTACACATATTGCTCTTAGCTGATTAACAATTCAAATTACCAGTTTTAAACCTTTTGTCATTTACTATATATACAATCAAACTAACCTGTAAGAAGAAAAGGTGTTGCGTTACTTCTTGAACAAGTTCTTCGCTTACGTCTTCTGGGTAAAATTTAGCCAGAAATACAAAAGGAACCACTGACTGTTTCGGAATGTCCTGGTCCTGCACCTAGAATTCAGTAATTCAGTTTTAGTCACTGGAGACACATACAGTTTAGTAACATTTTAGAATTTTTAACTATTTAAATATAGGAAGTAAATGTCATGAAGCAGCTACTAGGAATATCAAATTGGAAATCCATACACCTATTTTGAGCACCTGTTTTCTTTGATATGAATGATGGTCATCTGCAGAGTAAATAGTAAATGATGATGCAAATACATTTTCCAACATAGTTTAAAACAGTGAAATCTTTTTGTATTATTAACCCAATGATGATAGGAGTCCCCAGTGCCATACTGAACAATGCTTCAAGGTTAGCTGGTTGATGGAAAAATCAGAAGTACAGGAAACAAAATTACCTCACTTTCTGAGGCATAACTTAGATCAGGCTTAAAAGCACATGACACAAGTAGGTCATCAGGCATCTCCCAATGTGCCTTGGTTAACAAAACTAATCATCTTGATTACACAAAACTGCCCTATTTTCACTTCTACATTCAACAAAACTTATGAGAAAGACAGCACAGGTAACTAACTTACTCTTTTCTCCATCTTGAGCCAAGCAAAGTTGTTCTTAGAATCTTCAAACTGTAGGCCAAAATACCAAGTCTCCCTTAATCCGATTGTGCGTACTACCAGATCAAACAAGTCTCGCCCTGTTGCTCGCCATGGCAAGTTGAATTCAAGTTCAGCATCCAGCATTACTATCTTTACAGGGAAGGACTTGGAGGCACTTTTGCCACGGAAGATATTTCGCAGCGGCATCTTGAAGACTGAAAATGAGAAAATCATTATAAATCAAGGGAGAGTGGAAGGAATGATGGGGGTAGGAGGAAGGGGGAAGGAAGGGGTAAGGAAGGGGTAAGGAAGGGGTAAGGAAGGGGTAAGAAGAGTAAGGAAGAGGGAAGGAAAGGGGAAGTAGGGGGAGAGGGGGAAGGAGGGGGAAGGAGGGAGGGAAGGAGGGGAGGGGGGAGGGGGAGAGGGAGGGGAGAGGGAGGGGGAGAGGAGGGGAGGAGGGGGAGGGAGGGAGGAGGGAGGGAGGGAGGGAGAGGGAGGGAGAGGGAGGGAGAGAGAGAGAGAGAGAGAGAGAGAGAGAGAGAGAGAGAGAGAGAGAGAGAGAGAGAGAGAGAGAGAGAGAGAGAGAGAGAGAGAGAGAAGAGAGAGAATAGGAGAGAGAGAGAGAGAGAGAGAATCCAATGAGAAACCAAAGGTTTGGGGGATAAGAGCAAAATTACTCATAATAGGCATTCAAAAAATGACCCAAGAATTACGTCCCTCACGATAAAGGAAGTGTAAAAAAGAAAACCCCAATCCTAGGTTTGGTCACAGAACATTTGACCGGGTGTTGCATGAATGGACAAACAAACGAACACCATACTAAATAAACACTGTTTTTACTGTATAAATAAAAAACATCCAGCCGAAGGGCTTTGACCCCAGATCCTCTTTCAATTACTGTATTCGAGTTGGAAGCTCTATCCTAGGACCCCCTCCTAATTGTCGTACTTGCCATGAATAGGTCTGCAATTGCCAGATGATGTGCCACACAAATTACTGCTAATACAGTTGCCATAGCTGATCACCAGTCAAAATGCTGCAATATCTTTATATCTGGAAACGTCAAACTTTCATTCGTTTTTTTCAACCATCTCATCTGCTTCGATTTTATTTTTTTCCCGGCATTTGGAGCTCTTGATGGGCCCATGTATATAACTGGGTTGGTTACTAAAGTCTAATTCTTCTTGTTGCCACTGTATAAGTCTTAACAATAACCTAGAATCAACACAACACTGGATATGCTACCTTTTCTCACTATCATTCTGTCACTGAATTGCCAGTGAGCTGTCAAACCTCACAGCTGTGCGAATGAAAATGTGAAACACAAGATGCGCAGATAATTCTAAATAAGGGTATAGATCAATCTTAAAACATATAAATGAAGAATATAACAAGAATAAAATACTTTAAGAGCATAAATGTTTAACAGCAGACACTGATAATTAGCCAAATATCGTTCTGACAAGCATACAGTAACATACAAAGTACTTCAGATATCGCGAGTAACGAGTTAAGCAGTCAGTGATGTGCTCTTCTTGGCAAGGTAAACAAGAAGGCAGGACATTGAATCTTGAGCAGCGATAGCGAGGTATATTTTCATCATTGAGCAGTGACTATGAGGCCGCTGCAGCTTAAACTATGTTGTATCCTACTCTATTTCTTCAGCTCTATAAGATGGCAGAGTCCATTTCCGTCTATCACCACGCACTGCTCTCTTTAACTTTTACCCCAAGCTTATTGCGTCCATATCATAAAGATTAACTCTTATTTGTAAACTCATAACAAGACAGGTAATTCTTCTAGCCAGGCAGGTAATTCTGGCAAGCTGTGCGTTGCTGATACTGGATAATTTAGGACTGATCATTTGCTTACAATAGACTGATTCGGTAATGCCTAGCAACTGCCCTTAGCAACAATCACTTGGTTTATTTAGCAAACCCTTGTTTGTTCGAAAACTCATTGCACTTTGCATGAAGTCGCCAATTTTTCCGAAAATTTGGTTTCTTTGAGTGAAAATGCCGAGGAGCTGCATTGCTGTTGGTTGCTCAAGCCGCAACATGATGGGAAAGAAAGGTTTAACCTTTCATAAATTCCCAGATCTCAAAAGAAAATGAAAAATGGAAGCGATGGGTACAGGCCATGAAATGTGTGAAAGCTGATGGGAGTACTTGGGTGCCTGATAGAATATGTTTACATCTGCTCAGAACATTTTATTACATGTTACATTCTTGTTGTAATAAATTGATTTATCATAATTTCAATTTACAGGCAAATCATCCCCGGACCCAACTCACCCAGACTTTATCCCAAGCACTGTCCTTTAGATGAAAACAAAGCAGTCAAACTGTTAAAAAGATTTGAAATAGGAAGAATAGAAGCCTCGCTAAGGAGATACCAAGCATTCAGAAGAAATCACAAGTTCCTGGTACCTCTGTCTGAAATGTCATATAGCTCAGCAGATGAAATAACTGAAGAGGGCCTACTTCAAATTATTGAGGAAAGAAAAATATGCGTTGAGCGCATGTAGGCCTTTGCGTGACTTCACTGTCTCCTTTGTCTTAGTAAATAATAATAAATAATATAATAATAAATATATAATAATATATAATATAATAATATATAATAATAAATAATATAATAATAAATATATAATAATATAATAATAAATATATAATAATAATATAGAAATTGCACTGATTTTACAGAAATAATAACCTATATAGCCAAATATCATAGATTACCGTAGCAAATTATGTTATCGTAAAAACATCATAATACAAGGTGTATCGTAGATGTCGGGATATTCAATATTTCGAAGGATTTTTGGCAGGCAAATAGTATAGGCACTAGTTTCCCTGCACAGCTTCTAGATTTGCTTTATATTGCTTTTTTGTTTCGGTTTGTAAAGAATCAAAGTATTCATACGCCGTTTTCGCTTACGCTGATAGCGAGGTATCTGCAAGCGACGGGTTTCTTTTTACCAAGTGGAAAGACGACTCCAACTCCATCACACAGAATCGGTCTATATCTCTTGTCCAAATTATTTAATTTAACGCTATGGAAATAGGTGGATAGTGTGGTGGCTCTGATAGAACATAATAACATATATCCTAATTTCAATGACACAGCATCTGGCAATAGTCACATCCTATGAGTCTGTTTCCTAGCAAGGCCCAACAATCCTCTACTGTATATAATTAAATAAGTAAAAACTTCAACTGGTTTCTGACTCAAAGGTATATTATTGAAGGCCACAAACTCTACCATGTCAGAATATACATGGTGATTTGACAATTTGTAAGTAAATGTCAACCAGCAGGGAGGCTGCTGCTATTACTGGATACCAATCAACAGAATAGCTGCTAATATTACTGTTGTACTGTATTCAGTTTCCAGGAACTAGAACTAGTACATCAAAGCAATAGACACCTTAGGTTATTCATTAGCACTAAATAAGTTAGACCTGCCATTGTGCATTTTCTGAATAATTATCACATGTTACAGGGTACTTCTGATGACTCACACAGCAATGTTTGTCTGCAATGCACCCCAGGAGACCAAATCACACAACATAATAACTTAATTTTCAGGAATAAAACACCAAGGAGTGGCCATAAGTCCTGTAATCCTTAATACCAATAAAGAACTAGACCCAAACCATGAAGAAAAAAGCCCAAGAACTGAACCTAATTTCATTCCCATAAACAAAGCACTTACTCACCCACCCGAAGGTGCAAGCGAACAACCGTCCTCTTTATTTTAAAAAAATCTTATATTTTCCCCACAGAGGCATTGCAGCACGCCCCCTGGAAGCTGTATTGCTCTCTCTTTCAACGCTGCCCCTGAATGTCCCTGTATGCCCCTGGCGAGAAGGAAAACAGGGACAAATTCTAGGGGATTCCACAGCTCGTCTCTTTGCGGTTTGTTTACTAAAAGTTCACGTCCAGGCTTCACACACTCCGTCATGCGCTGCGGGAATTTTGGTATAATGATATTCAACAGGTTGATTTGCAAATGTTGGGTATGATTATGGCTAACAAAACGTAAGCTCGGAGGAATTTTTATTTACATATTTTGAACATAGGTGGCAAGTTGACGTTTATAAACAATTCAAGTTCAGGCTTAATTAAGACCTTATGCTGTAAGCGTTTAGGTGCGAATACATGTCGATATGTGAACATTTGGACGCATACAGCCCATCCAAGACTACATTTGATTATTACAATTGATATTAATTATGGTGTATAGTTTTAAGGTTTGTGAGTTGGGGTTTGTCAAAAGTTGACATCCAGTCTTAACACACTACCATATACTTTATGAGTAATTCACTAATTATATCGAACGTTAATTAGTGAGTATTTGGATCTGATGGATTATGAGTACCAATATACTGTGCATTTTCCTCGATGGGTGTGGGAGAGTTGAGATTTTCGTAACGCATATTGGTCTGAGAGCGGGATGGATATTTCCTTCACATCCAATATTTCTCATCAGTAACAAATAATTTTAATGCAGTATTTTTCATAAGTACGTTTTATCCATAAAATTTTCAAATAGATGAAACAATTCTTTTAAAAATATATATAAATAAGATTATCATATCCACGGAAGTGTCACAACACTGGCGTCCTAACTGCCCTTTTAAACTTGAATCCACAAGGAATAAAGGAATTTGGTCACATCTCATTCGAGGAAAATCTATATCCATGCAACATTTTCCTGGGGTCATTCACGCCGCTAAAATGCATGAATCTACGTAAATTTATATCTTTTATTTAAATGTCTATGTATCAATACCAAGGATTAGAAACAAAAAATCTGCGAACACCGGGCGAAATTTGCAAGTGCATTTCCTCAGTTTCAATAACTTCTAAGAACAGAACAAATTCAAAGCAGATTTCAGCGCAGATTTTAATTAAAACACGACAAAGTCTAATTCTTAATAACTGAAACATTCATAGCCTTGGGAAATTCAACGCCGAATTTCCCAATTTCCACACGTAACGTCTTTCCTTCATTTCTTCCGCTTATTATTTATTTACCTCTTGATCTGTATGTATATATATATATATATATATATATATATATATATATATATATATATATATATATATATATATATATATATATATACATATATGTACGTATATATGTATATACATATATATTATGCATATATATATATATATATATATATATATAATATATATATATATATATATATATATATATATATATATATATATATATATGTATGTATACATACATACATACATATATATATATATATATATATATATATATATATATATATATATATATATATATATATATACGTATACATATGTATATAAATATAAACATATACACACACACATGCACACACACACACTCACACACACACACAGCACACACGCTCACACACACACACACACGCGCACGCACGCACACACGCACGCACGCGCACACACACACACACACACACACACACACACACACACACACACACACACACACACACACACAACACACACACACACACACACAAATATATATATATATGTATATATATATATATATATATATATATATATATATATATATATATTTGTGTGTGTGTGTTGCGTGTGTGTGTGTGTGTGTATTTGTGTGTGTTCAAATATATGTGTATATATATATATATATATATATATATATATATATATATATATATATATATATATATATATGTATATATACATATATATACTTATTTGTACATATATATACATGCATATCTCTCTCTCTCTCTCTCTCTCTCTCTCTCTATATATATATATATATATATATATATATATATATATATATATACATATATATATATATATATATATATATATATATATATATATATATATATATATATATATATATGTATGTATATGTGTGTGTGTGTGTGTGTGTGTGTGAGAGAGAGAGAGAGAGAGAGAGAGAGAGAGGAGAGAGAGAGAGAGAGAGAGAGAGAGAGAGAGAGAGAGAGAGAGAGAGAAGAGAGAGAGAGAGAGAGAGAGAGAGAGAGAGAGAGAGAGAGAGAGAGAGAGAGAGAGAGAGAGAGAGAGAGAGAGAGAGAGAGAGAGAGAGACGTAGGCGGAGATAGAGAAATAGAGACAGACAGGGACAGCGACAGGGGCAGGAGACGAAGACAGATACAGAGGCGGATAAAAGGAGACAGAGACATAGATGGAAACGGAGAGGGAGAAAGAGAGAGACAGGGACAGGGGCAGAGATGGAGAAAGAGACGGAGAAAAGACGACAGACAGCGACGGAAACGGAGACAGGGACAGGGACGGAGACGGAGACGGAGATCAAGACAAATATAGGGACATGGATGAAGACAGAGACGGAGAAAAGGAGACAGGGATAAAGACGGACACGCAGACAGAGAGAAACAGACCATCAGAGATAGGGGCAGAGACAGAGACGGAGAAAAGAAGATAGAGATGGAGAAAAGGAGGCAGACAAAGAGTGAGAAAAGGAGACAGAAACAGAGGCAAAAACAAAAACAGAGATGGAGGATAAAAAAAAGAAACAAGGGAATCTATAGAAGTCTCCCCTACACCATAGATTTTCTTTGAACGCTGATCGCTTACACTCCGGATCCCACAAAAGGCTGTTTACATTGTGTTGGTGTGACAGTCAAAGCCGGGACGAGGCTGCAGGACACACCATCATGAAATCCGTTTTTATGGTGGCGGAGAAGCCATCGCTGGCACAGTCCTTAGCTGAGATATTGAGTAACAAGAAGTGCAACTCAAGAAAAGGTGAGATGTGTTGAAATACGTAGTGATTTTATGTTTTCAGAATGAATTATTTTGTGTGTGACCCGTGGCATTATTATTTTAAATGTTTATTGATATACACCGTTATTTTGTATTTCAGGAGACGTGTCATGTAATTCTGTACTCTTATGTATTATGTTGTGTAACGGCTGTTTAGTCAGTAAGCTTCTTATTCTTTGACTTTGATATTGCACTAACACTTGCATGCAACTGAAGGTCACTACAGTGCTGAGTGGAATGTGGGTGTGGTGTGGGTGGGTCTTAATTGCGGAAGATATTAGGTGCTAGCATTCACAGTTTGAAAACATAATATGAAAAAAATGCATTTAGACGAAGTTTAGGGTATCATATCTTATGGTACTAATGCTTACCGTTTTATCTGCATTGGTTAATAAGTAACCAGTAATGTAAGGTGTCTCTGAGGTATCTTTTCCCTGGTAGTATGTATGATATGATACCGGTTTGTAGGTTTATTCTTGCTGGCCGTCAAAGAGAGTGCCAGTATGGTTATCTGGTATTACTGGAAATGATACCAAACACTCAAACAGAAGAATCTGACCTTGCTGTCTAATAGAACATAAGATTCTAAGTAGTGTCATTTTAATTTTTTCAGTTACATGATTTTAATCTTGTCACAATTACTGATATGATAATTTTAAGAATGACTGAAGTCTCTTCTTGTACACTTCATGTAGATCTTATTCATCTTCTTTTTCTAAATCTTTTCAGGTTTCAATGGCGCGTGTAGTGTTCACGAGTGGACGGGCAGCTTTTGTAACCAGAGTGTTCGGTTTAAGATGACATCGGTGTGTGGTCATGTTATGTCCTTGGATTTTCCTGGAAAGTACAATAACTGGGATAGAGTTGATCCTGTAAGTAACACTCTAACACAAGCATTTTTTTCTTTTTTTTTTAGATTTAATTTTTTTGAAGGAGCTTATTTTCATATTGAAATTCTAAGAAAGAAGAGTGTGTTACATTAAGATTTGAAAATTGATCTTCATGTAGTATGATATTTTTCCTTTAGGTAGAAATTCCCTTTATTCTTACAGGCCGAGTTGTTCAGGTGTCCAACGGAAAAGAAGGAAGCCACTGCCAAGCTCCGCAATGCCTGAATTCCTAAGCAAGAGGCACGGATGATGTGATTACTTGGTGCTGTGGCTTTGATTGTGATAAAGAAGGAGAAAAATATTTGCTTGAGGTTATTTCATGCGTAGAAAGTTCCCATGAACAGATCGACAGGTAGGCAGGTATGTGTTGTTTTATTTGTTTATAGTTTATATTTCTTTGAATGAAAGCAGCAGTTTGATTAAGATTATGATAAAAAAAAAATCGAATTTAGTTTTTAAAAGAATGAATTTAGGGATGGGATGTGTGGCAATATAGAAAATTTTTGGTATTTTTTGCATTTTTTACATTTACTCTAACATAAATCTTATGATAAATCTCATCATTTACACTATTATAACATACACATTCACATTTAATGCATCAGGATCTGATTATTAAAACATTATTGTGAGTGATCATTTAGGCTAAAGAAGAACAAAAACAGAACAGAGTCTTCCCTCCTTGATGTGGTCTGTGATCAAAATTTAATTTGTCAGGATTAATTTATATATTTTTTTATTTTTATGACTGAAAAACTTACAGCAAGTGAAATCTAGAATTTCATCTTGATTATTCTAGTCAGTTTCAACACTTTTAATACACAACAAACAGGAAAATGACATCTTGTTACAAAAAGAATTTGTGGATTTGGTCATCTTTGCCTTTTGGCTCTGAAATTTTTGTTATTTCTTTTAATTTTACCCTCAGCTTTGCAGAACCAATTTTGAGCAGTTAATGAGTTTGTCAGAGCAAGATTCATTAACAGAGCAGTAGGTGTAGAAATATTAAGATGGCATTTATTCATAATGATTTATTAAAGGATTTTTATTTTCCAGACCATATTTCGAGCAAAATTCTCGGCAATCACAGACCGTGATATTAAGGCTGCTATGAATTCCTTAATAGAACCTAATGAAAATGAGTCACGATCTGTTGATGCTAGGCAGGAGCTGGATCTTCGCATTGGTTGTGCATTTACAAGATTTCAGACTAAATTTTTTCAAGTA